TTGCCTTGCCCTGCCCTAGGATCTCGCCAGTGCCAACTGAACACTGAACTGAACGAACCGAACCGAAGCTGCTGCTGCTGTCGGTGTCAGGCAATCATTATCGATCTCTGGCACGGCTCACCAGCTCTCTCTCTCTCTCTCTCTCTCTCTCTCTCTCTCTCCCTCTCTCCCTATCCTCAATCACCCCCATCAATCAACCCATCACTGCTAATCCAGCGTCATCGGTGGTGGTGGTGGTGGTGAGTACAGATAATTAAATGGTCATCCTGGTGGATGAAGGCAAGAAAACGAAAGAAAAAGTACTGCTGCTGCTGCTGCTGCTGTTGAACTTTATTTCTGTGGAAGTTGCAGAAGATATTGCGCACACACACACAAGTTCAAGTGCACAGAAGCTGCTGATTCTGCTGCTGTCGAAAACACACTCTTCGTCGTCATCACTGGCCATGCAATGTCAACGCCGTTCCGTCATCAGCACACACCGATGTATCACTACAGGCCAATATTTACCGATCCGCAGATAGGAATGATGAGGTCACAAGACACCCCAGCAGAAGGCTCATTATTTTTCAGAATAGCTTTAGTAGAAGCGCAAATAGAGAGAGAGACGAGGAAGGAGGAAGGAGGAAAAGCGGAAAAGAGGAGAGACAAAGCGAAAAAGATGAAGATGGTTGTGTGTGTGTGTGTGGTTTCTGTTTGTTGTTGTTTAGTGTGTAGTGTGAAAAGAAGGAGGAAAAAGTGATAGAGAGAGCAAACAGGAATAGGAGAAAAAGAGAGAAAAGAGAGGGAGTATATATGGCATATATTCGTGAGTGGGTGTGTTTGGTAGAAGAGCGTTGCTGCTGCTGCTGGTTGTGTAAAAGAGTGTGTTTGTGTGTGCTCGTTGTGACGGTTGTGTAAACACCACCAGTGAACAAAGGAGGCCACCGTCAGCGGCGGCTGTTGCCAAGTTGCCAAGGTGGGCGCTGCTGCCGTTGCTGCTGCTGCTGGGCGGCCTCTTGTTGACGGATATTTACAGATGAGGAATTGACGAATAAAGAGAGAGAGAGAGAGAGAGAGGAAAGAGGAGAGGAAAAAGAGAAGATACATGGTGCGCTTATGATAAAAGAGAGGGTAGGGTAGAAGAACATTTAGAGTAAAGTAGAGGAAAGTGGGTGTGCGAAGAGGAGAGGAGTAGAAGGAGAGAGAGTAGAATTGGCGGAAGTGGTGGTACCGGAGCTGGCTGGTCCA